AAATAATTCCAAGGGGAAAGGAGGGGGGAAGGAAAAAAAAAAAAATACACCAAAGAAAATCCAAAATGCAACAAATTGGAGGATCTAAAAGAACGTTAATTTTGCATAAATTGCCGTGTTATTAAAAAATCTTTTTTTTTTTTTATTTTTTTTAGTATTTTTAATTTTTGTAAAAAAAAAATGGACTGACATATGTTACACTCCTCCACAATTTTTATTTGGTTTTTTTTTTTTTTTCCTTCTTTTTTTGTGGGATAAACGGAGAGACGGGGGGGGGAACGGCCAAGGAATTGCAGTAGCTGGAAGACGCACACCAACAGTCCGTGGGAACGAGGGGATAAACTGAATAAAACCTGCCCTGATATAGAGAAAAAAAAGACAACCCAACACAAACACATCTCGCAGCCCTGGAGTGGCAAACCCGGCTCGTTTCAGCAGCTCCCGATGGGAAAAGCGGGAATTGGACCTAAAAAATCGCCAAGAATGAGACAGGGACAACCCCCCCCCCCCCCCCTTCCTTCTGGTTTATTGACCCTTCACGATTCCCTCTCCTGCAGCTCAGCCCTTCCCTTCCCTGTGGTATTCCCAAATGGATAACACGGGAGATGCAGAGGCACCCAGGTGGATGAGGTTGGGAATTCGCTCCGGGAATGCCAAGTCCGCTCTCTGCTCCCTCCCCCAGCTCGGTGGCAGCGAGGTCCTGCTTCCAGGGAAAAAGGTTTTCTGGGATGCAGCTGATTAACTCAGGGTCCCCTTGGGAAAGCAGCTGGAAACATCTGGAATGGAGGGGCAGCTCTGGAATTCCAGCAGCTCACGGGGAAAAGCCTCAAGTTCCAGTTCAGCCTCAAAATTCAGCTTATTGAGGGCGGGGACGGAAAACCATTGCACAATCCCACTGCCTGCGCTCCTTGGGAACAATTCCCCACGGAGAAATGATGTTTCTGAGAATGAAGATGGTGTTTAGGGACATCAATTATCCCTAGGGAAGCAGCCAGGTGCTCATGGCACCATCCCACTGGATTTTGGGGACACTCCACGCCGTGATTTGGATTATACACCCCACCGTGAACAGTTGGATTTTGGCAAATTTCCATCCAGCCCTTTTTAAGCCCAGGGAGAGCGACAACCACCTGAAAAAGTTGTGTCTCACGAACCTTCCCGTACCCAAAACATCCTCCCCTCAGGCTGCAACAGCCCAGAGAAAATTCCCGGCTAAAACCCCCGGAAAACGGGGAATTAAAGAGAAAAACAAGCGGTTTTTGGAGTTTGCAGATCCAGCAACAGTGCTGCTTTAAAAAGGGCTACAACACTTCCGAGCTTTTATTATTAATTGTTTTTTTATAAGTTCTCAAAGGACTGGGAAGCTCTGAGGGTCGAGACATCAAATGCTCAATTCCAGCCAGTTCCAAACACCCGAAAACAGTGATTTTGGATGGAAATCGCTGCCACAATCTGAACAACAGCGGATTAAACTGCTGCCTTAATCCTCCACGTGGCAACTCCTTTAAGGACAGTCATTCCTTGTGTCCCAAGCGCTGGGTTTTCCCCCCTTTTCCAATGGAAAAAGTTGTTGTCTCCCTTGGTTTCTCCAACAGAGCGATTCGAACACAAAAAAATTGAATTTACGCCTCCCTGCTCGGCGAGATCTCACGATATCATCTGATGTTCAAAAGGTCTGGAAAGTGCCCTCCTGCTGATCAGCTGAGGGAGTTATTAAGACAGAACTCATGCAGCACTTAAAATGCATAAAAAATACATTCAGTTGGTGGTTGCTTTGTGGTTTTTTCTGGTTTATGCACATTTTAAGCCTCTCCATGTTCTGCAAGTTGCTGTAGATTTTACGTACAGGTGCAACTGTCGTTTATTTACAGTTTCTTCCCAGGAAATCAGGTTGTTCTTTCCCCCCTCTTCCACTTCACCTCCAAAGGAAATAATCCCACAAAGCCTTCCCTGTTGATATTGGTGATAAACCACCAGAATTTCCCACTGATTCCCACTTTCTTTCCTTGTTTTACCTTGGAGTGGGGATGAAACTGCAGCAGAGCTCCTGTATGAGTTCTCCTGCCCCTCATCAGGTTTGGAGATCAGATGCAGAGCAAAGCTCCATCCTGAAGGAGCTTTTTATTTATACAAATAAATAACCCTTTTATTTATAGAAATAATTCTTGTCCCTCTATTGACCTTTTTTTTTTTTTTTTTTTTTTTTTTTTTTTTTTTTTTTTTTTTTTTTTTTTTTTTTTTTTTTTACCTTTTGTTCTGCTAAACCTCAAAACTTTGATCATTTTTGCTCTTTTCCCCCCAAATCTGACCTTTTGTGGCTTTGCAGACTTGACGAATCATCTCTCCAGGGGTGGGGAACCCCTCCAAAAAATCAGCATTTATGTCTTTTTGTGAATGTAAAAAAATCTATCACCTCTCCAAGCCTCCAGTCCCAGGAGCTGTTTAACATAAGGAAAAGATGGAATAACAGGTGATGGATTTTAGTCCAGTCTTATTTCTCCAGTTCAGGTCAGTCCTATCACAGAGCGAGGCAGGAAGTGCCACGAGGAGATGAATCTGTCTGAGGTAATCTGTGCATCAGGTAAAACTTCAAACTACCCAAATCCCTTCATCCTAAAACACAAAACTCCCCCAATTTTTCCTCCCAGAACTCCTTTTTCCCAGAGGGCCTTTAAATTTCGGGTTTGGAAACCGAGGCGTTTATAGGTATTTAGATACATTTAGATATAAAATGCGATTTTTTTTCCCCCTCTAATATTTTTCTCCGGTCCTGACACCCTTTTGCAGTCCAGTTGCACTTGTTAAATGACACGTTAAAGGGGAATTCTCACCCAGCAGGGTCCCCAAACCACCTGATGGGCTGTTCCCATCCCCTCGGCCACCAATTAATTTGTGTCTTTGCTGTAATGCTACCACGCTCTGAGAAGCCTCTTCAAAACACAGGGGTTAGAAA